TGGCTCGTAGCTGATGGTTGTGGCTGTGTCTCAGATGGCAGTCGGGCCCAGGGAGCTCTCTGTGCTTTTATATTATTATTATTGGCACTAATTCATGCAAGGGAGATCCACCTTTATGACGTCATGGCTTCCCCAAACGCCCACCTCCAGACCCCATTTCATCAGGGATGAGCTTTCCGCCAATGAAGAGGGTACTCAGTCTGCAAGCAGGAGTGGAGACTGGCCTGAGAAGCCAACCCTGCTGCCACCTGCTTCACGCTGTCCCAGGCTCTGGAATAGTGAGAGGTAAATCGCAGCAAGAGTCCTCCAGTCTTGGTGGATGCTGAACAGTGGGTCTGAAAAGTCATATGGGACTTTAGAAAACAACTTTTAAACAGAAGAACCGTGATCATGGTTTATTTTATTATGGTGGCCATTCGTGGTATTGTAGGCAAAAAGATCCATGAGACAGAATAGGGAACATGTGTGTGTGCACGCACAAACATCCCGCACGCACACACATGCGTGCAGGCACACAAACATGCATGCACACACACCCAGATGTGTAGTCAACTATAGTTAGTTTTTGAGAAAGATGCAAATCAGTGGAGAAATGATAGTGTCAACAAGTCATTCTGGAACACGGACATCTGTACCCGAAAGGAAACAAGAGAAAAACCCTGGCGCCCGTCTCAGGACCTGTGATCCTCAGCATCATGGCCACACCTGCCCTCTGGGAACCTTTCCTTTAAGGAGGGGTGGGGATGGCTTAAAGCAGCCCAGATAACAAGTGGGCAGGTCTAGCTGGCATGCCGAAAGCGGGACTGAAATCCTATACCATTTTCCTTATGAGAAAATTGATCTTGGCCAACATGTCTTGAGTGTCATCTTAAGAAACTGTCCATCTGAGATGCTGAGGAGCATGTGGGCATGCGGAGGGTGGGGGGGAAAGTACCAAGCAGGGCTGAGCCAGGGCAACTCCCTGCCCTGGGCAGGTAGGAAGTCCTGCTTCTCACAAATCCACCATGCTCTTCCCTAAGGAAGCATCTCCAAGAGCCTAACGCTTCCCTGTGCAGACTCACTGTCAGACCAGCTGGGCCCTGCCCTGGAGCCCCAGTCATTAGACCGCCTTCAGATTCTGCAGATGATTGTGTATCTTCTATTTGTCCTGGATTCTTTCTCTTCACCTCTGTTTCATTTCAGGCTCTGTCAAACCCCCAGCTTCTAAACTCCTGTGTTCTCTCAGGCTGGCTGACTACCCTAGGATGTAGCTGATGTCCATCGTCTCTTCCTTTTGCTCTTCGGTGCTTTACATAACATCCAGTCTGGCCTAAGTGCTGGTTCTCTGCGTGAGCCTGCTTCATCAATGCTCGGGGTGCTGTTCTTGTCCAGGCTTGGTAAGGACCCCCCCCGTAAGAGGTGGAGCCAGCTGGGCAGTGTCTGCATGCCAGCAAGGAACAAGTGCATTTGCACGTGGAAACAGAATGGTGAGCCTCGTAAGCCAGGCACCAGGGGCTCATGCCTGTAATCCTGGCTACTCAGGAGTAATAAGGATCATGGTTTAAAGCCAGTCCAGGCACAAAAGTCTATGAGATGTTTATTTCCAATTAACCAGCAAAATGCTGAAAGGGGAGGTGTGGAAGAGCACTAGCCTTGAGCAAAATAACCAAGCAAGAACACAAGGCCCTGAGTTCAAGTCTCGGTACCAGCACACACACACACACACACACGAAATGCTTCTTCCTTCCTTTCTAAAGTGGAAGAGACAGAGCAGTGTCCTATGAAGAGGTTCCAAGGGCTGCACAACACCTGGAGTTCAGTGGAGGAGGAGGGGACCAGGCGCTCAGTCAAGATGGATAGTCCTGGCTGCTTTGCGAGCCTAGGAGTTAGCAACATCCCAAACTCCCTCTACCAGCCCAGCACTCCTCTGGAATGAGCTTCGGCAGAGGACCGCCGACCATCTTACCTGGGCTGGAAGCCAACAGGATCAAGGGGGGAATGACCAGTGCCGGTGTGGACGTCTGTGACGCAGAGGGCCTGCAGAGGCGGGAGGCTGATGGCCTGACCTATCATTTACCCCAGAGCCTCCTAGAGGAAAGTGGTTGCCAGCAGTGGTGTGCACCTCTTGAAGAGTTGAGTCTCTGGGCGTCAGGAGACCCACAAACTATACTTTCAGGGAGGGTTTTGCTCACAGGGTTGAGGGATGGGCCTGTGTATCCTCCAGGACATTCAGCTCTAGCAGGCTGGTCTGCAGTACTGCAGTACTAGCCCAGTGGGAAACACTCTCCACTGCTCTTTAAACAAGAGAAGAAGCACTTTCACGATGCAAGGGGAATTTCAAAAGGCCAGGGGAACATTCTCCCTCCATATCTGTAGGAGAAAGTGTGGATCTTGTGAAGATCTTGCAAACTTGGCAGAATAGAGGCTGGGCAATACATGTAGTCGGCTACTTCTCTGAGAGAGTGAGCTGGTGGTCTCAGAGGGGCTGGCCTCCATCTGTCCCTGCAAAGGGAGGTCAGCCATGGGTGGAACAAGCTGCCATCCCGGGAGACATGACCCAGGACTTCCATGCTAGCTCCTGGCTCTCAAGTTTTCCAGCCTAGACCTTTTAGCTTTAGCTCGATTCCTACAAGGATCTCTCTCTGTCTCTCTCTTAATTTAGTGAAGCTTCTTCCAGCAACACCATACTACAGAAAAACAAACCCAAAATATTTCATTAGCATGGATTTATTTTATAACTTCACATCAGTAACATTTTATCTTGCAGATTTTAAATAAATGACAGCAATGGAGCCATGTCCACAAATACAAAAACCACACAAAATCACTGCAAAATATGTATGTAAATCTTGGTGAGTCACACCAGTCAAATATTGTTCAGTAATATTGAGAAACACACTTGAAGAGGTTAAAGGATCACAAATACCTTTTCTTTAAAAAAACAACAAATGCCTTTCTTACAGTCTTGGGATATTCTTCAGTTCAGTGAATCCACCATTGGAGAGAATAATTTACCATTCTCAAGTCAAGTCTCGAACAACTATCCACACTTGCTGGAATAGTTATCACAAATATAAAAGATGACAAACATTTCTTTTCACGATGAGCGGAAGTGGCTGCGGTGCGAAGCTGTCCCACCCTGCTTGTTTCTGTACAACTCCAAGAATAACAATGGCAGCATGTGCTAATCTGAAAATCAGCATCACAAAATTTGCAAGAGGCTCAGGGTAGGAAGGGTTTTCTAAATTCCACACATCACTTGAAGCGCTTAAAAGGCATTGTGTTATTTGATCCTAAGATAACCTATTTTCAGATGAGGAAACGGATATTTAAAGAAATGAAGCAACTTATATGGGTGCCTATGCACACATCTACCAGAGGCTGGCTGCCAGGTGTATCAGCTGTTTGCCTAGCAGGAAACCAAATGATGTTCACTTGTGCTGTCCTCGTGCACTGACCTGGTGTACACGGGCCTATTTAGACACTCAAGATGCTCTACAGCTGTGCAGGTCTACACGCAGTGACCGCACGTTTGCAAATGAGCAGAGACCCCAGCTGTGCTCCTACATGTGCCCCAAATGGGTCAATCTGCAAATACAAGAAAACCATGGGTGAGTGTCACCATGTTGAAATGTGTCACCAACACACCTGGTCCACTTGGTAGTTATTTATTACATAGAAGATGGAAAAGTTTGAAATACATTCTGAAGACGAGACTGTGGGAAAAGTTTCCGCAAAACTCGGGGAACACAATCCGAAAGCCAAGATGGTAGAGCATGCATTCGGCTGGCTCGGAATTCCGGGCTTTGGGCTAGGATGTGGTTGCACTTTGATGTGTGAAGTTGTTTCTCTTTATGAAGCACAAAATGGAGTCCCCCGTAGAGTCGTGCTGAGGGGATGTCTGAGGGGAATGCCCTGTCTGACACAAGCGTACCGTGAAGCGCTTTCCTCTCCTCTTCATGCTTGCTTGCCATGAAAAGCCTCCTTTGGAACAAGTTCAGCCTATCTGGAACTCACGCATGCCTGTTCCTAGGCAGCATCTTTGAAAGTCCACCTTTTCTTTGAGCTTGTGGATCTCCAGAAAACAGGCTTTGAATGAGTCACGTGTGTCTTCAGGCAGATGGTTCTGGAACCATCTACTAGGCGTCTAGTGGAAAAGTGGAAGGAGTACCCACTTCCTATTCCAGAGAAGAAAGAACCCTAAAGGCAGAGATGGCTGATCGGTGTGCCCTCCTACTGGGGTATGAATTCATCTACATCCGGGTATTCAGCTGACTTCTGTCCAGGCTGGCTGGAAACTCTCAGATGACACGGCTCATTTGCTGTAAGCTGCTTAACTGGAGGTGGGGGGCAGCTGGGGGCCCAAGGCCCCTCCCATGCTCCCGCCATGCACAGGACTCATCGAATGTCCATTTGAGACAGGACCCCCTCCCCTCAATACACACAAGCTGAGCCATGTCATCTTCCAACCTAATCCCAAATGCTGGCGTTCCCCCCCGCCCAACCTCCAAGTCAATTCTTCCCCTATGGTCCAGGTAAACTTAGTTGAATTGGGGAAATTAAAAGAAACTGGAGGTACAGTTGTTTTGTATGTCTTTGGGCTCATACTTCCTAGCTGGGATTTAATCTTTTGTTTATTAACAATCTATTAGGATCTTTCTCCCACAACTGGGGATGCATGGAGTGTGTCGGTGTCGTGCCCTAGGACCCACACCCTGGCATGTGTGTAGTTTGTTTCTTGGTATTCACAATCCTCCCGATTCTGCCTCTCGAGTAGCTGGGATTACAGGCATGTAGCCTGTACTGGCTTTTGTGATGATGCCTACACAGAATCTCAGCACTCAGGAGACCGAGGCGGGAGGATTGTGGAGTTGGAGGCTGGCCTGGGCTCTGGGGTGAGACCTTGTTTCACCCTGTTTAAAAATAAAAAAAAGAAGATTAGCTCTAACGCCTTGCTTTCAACCCTTGCCTTGCTTTCAACCCTTCGCATGGTCGAGGCCGCTGCTTCCTGGTCAGGATTCTCAGTGGTCCACCTTGTTCTCCCAGCGGCCGCGCCCATCCCTCTCCTCCCGCTCCGGAGGAGGCGCGTTCTCACTCTCAAAGGTGGCCTCCTCCTCCTCCTCCTCCCGGATCACCTTCACCAGCTGCAGGAAGCTGGGCGGGGGCCCCTGCTCCTGCAGCTCCCGGAGCCGGCACCACAGGGCCCCGCTCAGGCTGGCGCCGGCCATCACCTGCTCCAGGCGCACCTGGTCCACGATGCTCCGGGAGATGGCCCGCTTCTCCACCGCCCTCCGGAGCAGGGTCTCCAGCCGGAGCACGTAGGCCGAGACCTTCTCCCCTTCCTCCTGATAGGTCTTCAGGTACCTCACCTGCGAGGTGCGGCGGCTCTCCAGGCTGCCGAACACCTGCTTGAAGGCCTCCAGGCACTCCTCCACGCCACCGGCCGGGCTGTCGGCCTGCAGGATGCGCATGAGGTCCAGCGCCGGCCCGCGCAGGCTCTCCATCAACCACCTCTTCTTCTCCGCCTCGGCCACCGGCCACTCCTTGACGATCTCCGTGGCCTGCTCCAGCCACACCTCGAAGGGCTCCTCCTCCGGCGCGGGCGCCGGGCTGCCCGAGAACACGCGCAGCTTGCGGTACCTCATGGGCAGCAGGGGCTGCGGGGCGTGGGCCACCGCCTGCCCCACCAGATGCGCCAGCAGCTCGGGCGAGATGCAGGGCACGGTGGCCGGCGACAGCCCTTCCTGTCCCAGGGCCCGGAACATGCCGGACACCGTCTGTCCCTCCTTCTCCAGAAACAGGTTCAGTCTCTCCAGAAACTCTGTGTCCTGGTTGGGGGTCTTGAAGATCACCTTCCAGACGCCCCCCTTGGCCTGCACCTCGGCGGGGATGGCGGACACGTCGGTGGGCTCCAGCAGCTCCAACAGGACCGCGTTGGCGTTCTCCTGCTTGCGGAAGATCTTGCCCAGCAGCCGGTACCCGCCCAGTGCCTTGAAGGCCTCCTGCAGCACGCCCTGGACCTCCGCCTCCTCACAGTCCACGGGCACGCCCGTCACCATCAGCGCCTTCTGGTCATCCACGTTCATGATCCTGCACCAGCCCTCCAGCAGCGCCACGGCCATCGCCCCTGAATCCCGGCTCCCCGGCACGCTACAAGGATCACGGGTGTCAGTGGTTCAATCCCCACCCCTCACCGCCCTGCGAAACATAGAGGAACCCAGCCCCAGCATCTCCTAGACCTTCCCCAAGGCAGGGTGTCAGGGCCGGAGCTCTGCAGTCGGCTTGTTCTGGGGCTGGTTTGTCCACTCCACTCTGACAGACTGGACTTGTTTGCTTACTATGACCCATTTTCTCACAAGAACCCCACTGCCACGTAGTTTCCATACCACAGGCTCATCAGACACTTGACTAGTGTGTTTAATCCCCAGTTGCCGGAAAGAAGAAATCAGAGCCAAATACCTCTTTATATGTTCCAGAATGCTCTGTGAGAGCCAAGGAGCTTCTCTGTTCAGCTTCTAGCTCAGGAAGAGGTCCCCCACCTCCACACAGGGGGTGTGTGTGGTCTAAACTCCAGCCACGCCACGCAGTCCTGCTGTGTATAAATAAGAAAACATATTTTCATGCTCAACTATCACCCCGTATGTCTAACCTGGGTACTGGTGGCTCATGCCTGTAATCCTATCTACTCAAGAGGCTGAGATCTGAGGATTGTGGTTTGAAGCCAGCCCAGGCAGGAGTCCATGAGACTCTTATGTCCAGTAAACTACTTAGAAAAGGCTGGGAGTGTCACTGTGGCTCAGGTGGTAGAGCACTAGCCTTGAGCACAAAGAAGCTCAGGAACAGGGCCCAGGCCCACAATTCAAGCCCCAGAACTGGCAAAAAAACAAAAATGAAACAAAAGACATCTGGAATCTGGCTCACATCTATAATCTTAGCTACTCAGGAGGTTGAGGTCTGAGGATCATGGTTCAAAGCCTGCTCAGGCAGGAAAGTCTGTGAGACTCTTACCTCCAATTAACCACACAAAAAAGTCAGGAGTCAACTGGTGGCTCAAGTAATAGAGTGGCTAGCCTTGAGCTAAAAAGGTCAGGGACAGTGCCCAGGCCTTGAGTTCAAGTCCCAGGACCAACGCATATTAAAAAGACAAAAACTGAGGCAGGTCCAGCCCTTGGGAGGCTGAAGCAGGAAGACTGAGTTCAATGGAAGTCTAGCCTACAAAGGGAGACCCTGTCTCACACAAAAATATAATCAAAGACCAAGATTCAACTGAGAATCACTCAAACATTTGATTTAATATAGGCAAGAGGAAAAATAAAATCACTAGGTGCTGATGGCTCACACCTGTAATCCTAACTATTCAGGAGCTGAGATCTGAGGATTGTGTTTCAAAGCCAGCCCGGGCAGGAAAGTCTGTGAGACACTTATCTCCAATTAATCACCAGAAAACCAGAATTGGTGCCATGGCTCAAAGTGGTAGAGCACTAGCCTTGAGCAAAGAGCTCAGGGACAGTGCCCAGGTCCTGAGTTCAAGCCCTACAACCCAGACACAAAAAAATAATGAAAGTAAAAAAAATCTTGGGACTAGATGAGTTAAATTTGGTGTTTTGAGTCCATTCTCTTCTGTTTAGTGAGATTTTACAAGTGGCATGTTTCTTTGGTAAAGAAGGAAAGGTACTTTCTCCCTGGCACCCGACTGAAAGGCAGGACGCAGAACTACTGAGGAACTCCTGGTTCTGGAGTGGTTGGGAGACTGGAGGATATAGATGCAGATTCCCGGTAGAGCATGGTCTGCCCCAGGTGACTTCCTCATCCTGAAACATCAGTGTGCGGGACAGGAAGCTTGGATGGCTACGACAGACAGAACCACACTAGGTCCTCCTGGGGGACCCATGTGGAATGCACAACATGCTGTTGACTGGAATGTCATGGGGCGGTGTGATCATCCCTCCCAGTGACCTTTGTGCTGGGTGTGTTAGGAGACTACAATGATCTTCTCCTTGGTCTGACCATCTCCATCCATGTGAGAGAACCTAATGCCACAGATGCCACCCCGTGGCCACAACAGTTGCTCCTGCTGTGGGTGCAGCTCCAAAGTCTTTCTGGGAGTCACTGACAGCCACAGCCCCCTGTGAAAGTAAGTAGAGGAAAATGTTGCCCCCCCACTTCTCTAGTTCTCCTTCGAACATATGGGGGTGACTTCCCCCTCCATAAGGGTACTTAGAGAGATTGAATGTCCAGCCTGTTCTGCAGCGAGGCTGGCTTGCCAGGGCTCTTTCCCAAAGGCAATCTTACCTGTTAACGCCACACTCACACACACAGTCACAGAGGAAAGCACCTTGATGTACTACAGGGCCGCCTTGGAAATATTTGGGTATGGAGAAATAGAAGGACTTTTTTCACACAGAGGATAGTCTGGCCGTGAAGCTGGAGACGGCACTGGGGCGGCTGGCGGCATCAGCCTTGGGCACAGGGTCCCCATTCTCTCTAAACCCATATCCCATCCAAGAAGGCACGTGGCTCTCTGTCTAGGAGCTGCTGTGATTCACGAGGAAGCACTTTATTCACAGAGAACACAGCCGGTGCTAGGTCCCCAAAGCCCTACTCAGGTTCTCTTCCCAGCGCAGGTGTCCCCTCTGTAGCCTTCACCTCCTGGGCTCCCTACCTGCTGTGCGCACCCCGGAGCGGAGGGGTGCGGGGGGACTAGGCAGGCAGCCGCCCCGTGCCACCTCCCTGCGGCTGAGGGCCTCTCCAGCCTACGCCCACCCCGACTTACTGAGCATGCCCAGTAAGCAGCCCGAAGATGGACACCATTTCTGCCGGTTTCTGACACTGTGGGAAGACATGCGGGGCAGAAAGCGACCCGAAGCAGCAGAGGACGCGACGTGGAACAGGCCCAGAGCCTGGAATCAGCAGGAAAGGGCCCCCGCAGAGGGTTATACAGCCGCCCGGATTGCCACTAACCCAGGCCCTGGCCAGACGATCCCTGCGTACACCCCAAATCTTAACACAATTCGGGGTCCTCTCCCCACACCTCGCCCCCAACCTCGACCTACCTCCTGCCTCGCTCGCCCGGGGCTGCCCGCTCCCTCCGCGCGCCAGGCCCGCACCGCAGTGCGCAATGCGGGCGGGGGGCCTGGGCGGGGCGCCGCGGGGCCGGGCGGGCTGGAGGCTTCGGGAGGGGGCTTCGGCCGGGTTCTTCCAGTGTGCGTGCGTGTGTGCGTACGTGTGCGTGTGCGTGCGGTGCAGAAAGATACCAGCTTGCGGCCTTGCTTGGCGCAGTGGCGCAGCTGCGGGGCGTGGAGTCCGCAGGCAGCCCAGCGGGTCTGCGCCCGAACGGTCGCAGGGGCCTGGAATCCGCACTCCGTGCTGCACCCCTGTCGTCCAGAGGGACTCCCCGCCCTCCCTTCTCTCCCACCCGCCATGCTGTG